TCTTCTTTGGTAAGTAAACATGTTGAAGAATAACTTGAGTCCTGAGAAACCCATAAGTAACAATTGTATTTAGATTTAACTCCCTTCATAAGCACTTCACTCTTTTCATTGGTCACCAGACATTCAGATTTAGCAAAGTTGACATTGAGACCTTGATCACATAGTTGACTGATGCTAATGAGATTGGTTGTCAACCCTTTAACAAGTAGAACACCATCAAGATTTGGAAGTCCTGATAAATCCATCTTTCCAACTCCTCTAATTTCACTTTTAGCCCCATCACCAAAAGTTACATAGCTGGTTGCATGAGGTTTGACATCTACCAATAAGGTTCTGACCCCTGTCATGTATCTTAAGTAACCACTGTCAAAATACCAGTCTTATTTAGCTGATACTCTGAGAGAGGTATGCGCTATAAGACTGGTAGTAGTAGCCTTGGAAACCCACTATTTCTTTATAGAAGTAGCCACCTGATTAGGTATAGGCTGAGGAGCAGGCTTGGGATATCCATATATATTTAAGCAGAAGGGCTTTATGTGACCAAAGTGACCACAGTGGTGACACCTCTAATGATTGAACTTTCCTGTAGAATGATTGAATTGTCTTTTTCCATGATATTGAGACACTTGATTCAACACTTTGGTTTAGGTCTAGGAGGAATAAAACCTGTAACGGGTTCATTCACTTTATTAAGCACAACTGGATCATTAAACCCAATTCCATCCTTATCTCCAGCCACTTTTCCAACTTGAAGTATCTCATCTAGTGTATCAGACCCATTGTTCAACATCCTAACTGACTTGTTCATTCTGTCAAGTTTGGAGTTCAGCAGAATCACTTCATTTTCCAGCTTAGAGATAGTTGCCAGATTCTCTTTCTTTTCTGCCTATAGTTGGACTATAATCTTCTTCTATTTTTCTCCCAGATGATAAACTTCTTCACTTCTGATACACAACTCTCTATAGAAGGCAGCTAGCTCATCATAGGTCACTTCTTCATCACAAGAATCTTAATCAGATTCACATCTTCCAATTAGAGTAGTTACATGCTTGGCAGACTCTTCTTCAAGCTCATTTTCAGAGTCCTCATCAAACCAAGACACATATAGGCCCTTCTTTTGTTTCTTGAGATATGTAGGGAATTCATCTCTAATGTGACCAAATCCTTCACATTCATGACACTGAATCCCTTTACCCTAAATGGATTTTTCTTCAGCTCTTGTTTTTTTTCCAGAATCATTAGACTTGTTGATGTCATATGAGTTATTCTTAATATAAGGTCTTAACTTCCTGTCCATCCTTTTCATAATCTTATTAAATTGCCTCCCAAGTAACATTATAGCATTTGATATTCCTTCATCAGTGTCCAAATTACATTCATCCTCTCCATCTTCAGCATTGGACACAAAAGTTATGCTTTTGCTTTTCTTTTCATATCCTATCATTAATGGCTAATTCAAATGTTTGGAGAGATCCAATGAGTTCATCCACCCTCATTTGGCTGATGTTATGAGTCTCTTCTATAGCAGTAACCTTCATGTCAAATCTTTTGGGAAGAGACCTGAAGATCTTTCTTACAACTTTTCCCTCTAACATCCTTTCTCCTAAAGCACCCGATGCATTGGCTATCTCAAGAATATTCATATGGAAGTCATGAATTCTTTCATTATCTTTCATTCTCAAGTTCTCAAACTTTGTAGTGAGTAGCTAAAGTCTTGACATCTCTATCTTAGATGTACCTTCATGAGTAGTTTTCAGTATTTCCCAAGCATCTTTGACCACCACACAAGTAATAAACAATCTGAAAATGTTCTTATCCATTCCATTGAATAGAGCATTCATGGCTTTGGAATTTCCTAGAGCCAGTTCATCCTCTTCTTTAGTTAATTCTTCTTCAGGTTTTAACTCAGAAGTCTTCTTTCCATCTTTGTCCAAAACAATAGGATGTTCTCATCCTCTTATGACAGCTTTCCATGACTTGATATCCATAGACTTCAGAAAAACCACCATGTGTGCTTTCCAGTAGTCATAATTGGTTCCATCCAGAATGGGTGATGTGTTAATAAATCCCCCCTCCTTATCCATCGTACTAGAAAGTAACTTCCCTAGATCTCACCCAGATAAGAGCAGGATGTCTGCTTTGATACCAATTGAAATTTTGGTATCAGATATGAGATGTCGAAGGTGATGTCACGAAACTAATATCTGAACTGATATCAACTAAAGAACAAGGTAATAAACATAATAAAAAGCAGTAAACAACACAAGCAACTGTTAACCCAGTTCAGTGCAACGTCGTCTAAGTCTGGGGGATACCAAGCCATGAAGGAAATTCACTAAAATAGAATTAGTTTGAAGGTTCTCAGCAAACAACCTCTAGTTTACAATCTTCTCACATAATCTCTACCTGTGCAATTTCTACCTAGGACTCTCCTAGATATGATACCCTCTCACTTCCCTTCTATCATAATAGTAGTGATAAGACTTAACAATAAACAAAAGAAAACATACTTCAAAAACAATACTCGATCTTACTTAAAAGCTTCAATCAAGGACAAAACACTTGTGCTTGAAAGCTTATAGTGGACACTTACAACTCAATAAACTCAGTTCAGTTCAAGCATCTAAGTGATGAATGAATGGCTTATAAGAACATAATACAACCCTAATATTTAAGCAGTGCACACAGAGAACCCTAGCTTCATTAGTCTTCAATTAGGATTGATAAGTCTTTATATAGAGAACAATCTTCATGGGCTTGGGCATTAGCAAAAGCCAAATCAGATTTAATTAAATCAAATCAAAGAACTCTTCAAGACTTCTCACGGTTATAGTCATGAAAATAGCAATAAAAGATTCTACAATTAGCTCCACTAAATATGCAACATAATACTTTTGTTTCAAATAAAATCTCCACCATGATTTGCGCCAGCAATCTCTCATCAGGAAAACACAAAGGATTGCAAACAAAGCGTAACAAACAAAATACAACATTCTAAACTGAATGTTGTTCAGTTCTGTAATCACATGTTAGGACATCAATCTTGACATCATGAATTGAAGCTCTGCAACATCTGAAAAACCACCCCGCATAGATGTTTGAATCACATGTCAAGACAGCTTGTACAATACATAGCTGCAGCAACCCATTTTAGCAAAAATACAGCCAACACGGGACTTACAATAACCATAATAAAGAATAAGAAGAGAGAGAGAGAGAGAGAGAGAGAGAGAGAGAGAGAGAGAGAGAGAGGGGGGGGGGAATACCTAAGGCTTGAGGTTGTAAAAAAAATTGAATGAGGAAGCAAAAGAAATTTGTCAACAACACTTGAAAGACGGAGCACTTGCTTTGATGAAAAAACAAGTGAAGAAAGAGTCTCTTTATTGAAGCAAATTTGCAATGGTCAAGAAGTTGTATCGAATTGAAATAATGATGACAAGTGAGAATCTCCAAAAAAATGTCATTGTGGCAAGGAGAGGAAGTTAGCTGGCAACAATAACTCACTGAGTAAGTGACTGATAGGAATTCTAAGATTTTCTTGTCTGAACACTTCAATCCAATCAGATCTCGTGATCGGGGTGCTTATGTACATCGTGTAATTCCCTATGGCTTAGCTTTTGCAATCCGAGCACAAGCACAAGCAAGTTGGATAATGTGATCCTAAGCAAGTCGGAGTCCGACCAAGGTAAAGACCATTACCAAATCATAGTAGGTCAGATCCGATTTCAGCGTAACTATGGCAGAGGAATAAGTCGGTCCGATCTTTTGAAAAGTACTAGAGAGCAACATGAATGATCACATATAACGGTTATGAAATGTCTCTATGATTCCATAAGAGTTACGAAAATTGATGAAAGAAATACTTGAAAATTATGGAGGATGGCGGACGTCACCAACTGTAACATGGGATATGAAAATACATTCTTAAAAGAGTCATTGATGGTGGAGTGAGTATAAAAGGAGACTTTCCAAACGAAGAAAAGAATAACTAATTTCGTCTAACAAATAGGACGATTGTGATCTCACCTAGCTAATTTCATGGAGATTTCCCCAAATAGTGTTTTGTAAGACCATATAGTATTGAACCAAAAATTAATTTAGACCAGAAGTATATATTTAAAAGAAGAAAATATAATTATCGAACATTCAAAATATTTTTAAATAGTTTTTTTTTTTATATTGTAGCTATTTTATATTTTTAATATAAATTGTAATTTATAAATATTAAAAAAAAAAAGTTATAGGTTTAACAAATAAAGTTAATCACTTAATCATTTTTAAAAATATTAGTAATTTACCTGTGGTTTATTTTATTTTCTTCAATTTTATTTGTAGATTTAATGTGATTTCCTTTGCTTTCAGAATAAGGTCGTCCAAAAGAATTTTTTCTGAACATGGTTTAAATGAGTTTCTGAGAAATGGGTGAAAAATACATTAGATAGATTGAGAATTTTCTTTATAATCCTTATCCTTAATAATATATAAAAAATAAAAAATAAAAGTTACTAAATTTTGATTTAAATGCTATTTTTATGTTTTAGAATATAAAATTATTTAATAACTTTATGTATTCAATTTTGTTTAATATTATTTTTAGTTAATATTAAAGTCAACTAACAATATTAATTGTATATAAAATTTTGTTAACTTTAATTTTAAAAATAGTAAAATATAAAACTTTTTATTAATTTAATTTTTTATATTATTAGAGGCACAAGACGCTTTGTCTTACCTTAGACCAGTTTAACTGTTAAAAATTTGTTTGGTATTAGACTTATTTTTAATATTGCAATTCAATATTGTCATGTTTCAGTAAAAGTATTCATCAGATATGAATATATTCCAACAGCTATTACATACTATAGAGTAACAAATATTATTCACATTTCTTTATTGATATGGAAAATTCTTTTGCAAATAAAAACCATCTGGAAAATTAAACTAAAGAATAACATAAGCATAACGACACGCCTCACGTGCAGAAATTCGCATCAGAGAGATTAATGTTGAGCAGAAGACCAAGAATTTGACTCCACCCAGTTGTATGCCATAGGGCTCAAAAAAGCATCAGGAATGCCAAACGAATTAACCAACGCAAGAGCGTGTGGTCGAAGTTCAGCGCAGAGTTTTGGAACTTCTTTCCTCACTGCAGAAGCATTTTCTGTTGACAAGTATCCATATCGGAGAAATGCAGCATCTTCGTCCACACTAATCAAGGCGTATAATGATCTTAACAGACTTAAGACATCCTACAGTGGAGACAAATGCGAAGAGATTGATAAATAGGCTTGTTTACTTTATCATCCTCGAAACAATGAAACAAACACACCTGCACGCGCACACACACTAAGAAGGAAGGAACATTTCATATGCAATAATATGATTTACCTTCAATGAACCAGCTGGTAAAGCTGACTCGGCCTCTATAAATGTTTTAAGTATTGCTCGTTCAGAGAAAGCTCTGCCCAAGTCCTCCGCGAGCTGGTAACTCTGGTAAAGAGAGTAGTTTCAAATTGTAAGACAGTGATGATAATTATGAAGGAGAAATTGACTAAATGTGTTAGAGTCCTCACTAGAACAACGGCAGACTCTTTGCTATTTCCATTAGATTGATATTCTGAAACCTCTTCAGCAAAACGTTTCAATAGATCTCGCTCTCTTAGGTGGAACAGATCAATCTGTGTAAATGAGAGGTAAGAAACAAATAGAAGCTTCTACCAGGTCATTTTCAATTATTGACGGGTATATAGTCAAATGGTTACCTGAAATTCACTGCTCTTGATGGTAGAACTTGTTAACTGAGATGGGATGACTGGACAAGATTTGTTCATGTGCTCTAATCCCAAACCTTTAAATGGCTTGTTTTTTGTCTGACACGCTATGTATTCTGCAAGGAGTGCCTTGCTTATCTGAAGGGAAACGAAGAACCCATAATTCAATCACTCCATTGATATTGAACCAAAAATCATAAGCTAAAAGTCTATCGACAAGGTTCACACATATCAGAACAGATCTAGAGCCTACGCCTCCTCTGAGAATATTTCTTTATTCTATACACTTCACACATGACTCTTACCGCATCAGAACCTGATACACTTCACACATTTTTAAGTTTCATATTTAACAGAATACTGTAACATACCTGCTGCATCAAAACATTGTTGTCCCCCTCAAATGTTGAATGCACATCAAACTCACCCTTGAATTGACCGATACGATTTTCAGTTTTGACGCCTTGTCCCCCACACGCTTCACGACATTCCTAATTCATGTGTTAAAAGAATCTTAGTGAAGCCAATAGTTTATGAAATACAATCTATCACACCCAAATATAATAGCAATTCGTACCTGAAGAGTACGCATATTATTCCATGTAAAAGTAGCCTTGTATGCACTAGAAACAATATGAATTGCTTTGTTTGACTCGGGCGTTCTATTCACATACATCATTTTGAGCTCAATTGAAGCAAAACTCATAGCGTATCTGTAGAAAAAAGTGACGAGATGAACATAAACAGGTCCATTATTATATCTGCTGATGGTCAAACTAGGATAGTCGGTTGTTATTAAATCTCAAACGTATAAATGGCTATTAAAACCTAACAAGATATATGAGCCGCAGTGCAGGTTTTTATGTCGCGTTCTAACGAGTGTGTGCTGCCTGTTGAAATTATATCAAATGCTTTCGTCTGAAATACACATGGAAAATATCCTCTGACTATATATATATATATATACTAACAGTGGCATGCCAAAGTTCTGTTTCATAAAGGATTTGAATCACTTTGATTTCTCAGAAAATAGATATTAAAACGCATGAATAGTAGTACTTACATTTTTGCAAGTAAAGGTAAAAGACGTTGTTGATGACTTGGGTAATCCAGCAGTAAGACTTCAGGCCCATTTGGTGTAATAGAAAAAGCCCGCCTTGTCAATGCATATCTTATAGCAATGGCTAAGCTAATCTAACAACAGAAAATGAAAGGCATGATATTGAAGATGTAAAAGTTTGGAGACTTTGTAAGATGCATAGAAAAACAGACAAATACATTCATATCTACAAATAAAGTCGGAATCATTACCTTGGATATGTAAACAGCACTGACAGCAATAGTTACACGACCAGAGGTCAGAGGGGCTAAGAATGCTCCAAATCTCTGGAGCAAGAAAGCATATGACAAAAGATATCTGAGCACAAGGAGATAAAAGAAAATGGTATCTCTCAAAAAGAGCAATCACCTGATCTGCATTTTTAATTGCACTCAAGTAGTCGCCACTTGGTGAAACGTCAGCCACGGAATTTAACAAATTCTCTCTGGGTATTCTCACATTGTTAAACCTGAAATCAGATGCCCAGCCAGAACTTGAGTTTACTCGTTTAAAAAAGTTTCATTTATCAGCTGCTATCTTGCTTGAAAAGTATGTGTATATTACCAGATACGGCCATTATCAACCCCGTTTAAACCAATTTTGTGACCACATTCAGCTATTCGGATTTTTGGGCATATGTTTCCATCTGAATCCCTGATTTGGGCAATAAAAGCATGCACCCCTTGATTGCTACCATTTATGTTGAGCTGTGAAAAGACTATAGTATGTGTTGCATGCTGAATAGAAAAATATGTTAATACAGTCTCTATATGTACAAAAATAGAACAGAAGAAAGTGTAAGAAGAACCAAATCAATCTTACAACATCTAGGCTTTTAAATGGAAACGATAATAAAAGAGTCCTTACATTTGCAGCACCACCGATCCAATACTTCTGAGCCGACTCACACGGAGTATTGATGACAAATTCTCCAGTATTTGGATCATAAGTAGTGATTGTTTCGATTCCTCGGACCTGCAAAATTTACTTGGGAAAGATTATTAAAAGGGACAAAGTAAAAAGCATGATAAACTACATGTGGACCTAATAATCCCATCCTATTGAGCAACGCTTACATACATTACTCCCATGGCCCAACTCAGACATTGCAAAACAACCCTTGAGCTCATAGTTTTCAGTAGCTCTCAACCACTTGTCATGGTGACGCTTGGTTCCCAGAAACTTTACAGCCCCGCCCCTGCAATCGATTATTTATAAAGAAACCATTCCAACAGTGAGTCACTTGTCAAATAAGCTTGTTTGAGGAGGACAAATAAATAACCCAAGATGGAATCATTCATGACATAAGCTCTAAAGATGGTTATTGGTGGTCGCTGGACATAACATAACCATAAGAATTTGATCATCATGTTCAAATTTTACAAAGACATCAAATCATATATCACTTTTGCGCAAATATTTTATGTAATAATTATTACCGGTGCCACTCTGTCAGTGTCGGGATCATGTTCAGGGTAATAACAGTAGTATTATAACATTCATGACATAAGCTCTAAAGATGGTTATTGGTTCATTATAACAAACTGTTTGACTATTTATTAGGCAGCATTTTTAACCATATAAATTGTTGTATAGTTTTGTGTGAAAGTAAAAGGAGGTAGATATATAGAGAGAAGAGGTAGTTACCACAAGAACATATGAACACCGAGCTTAACGGCGAGAGAGTGATCGTACATTCCAATAACCTCATGAAGTGCCAATTTCCTCAACTCTTCTTGAGGACCATCACCGGTGAGCCACCCACGAAAAACACCGCGATCCAACAGATACGATATTCGCTTCATCGTCATTTCACGCTGTTGCTCCATCGACTGATTATAATCCGGGGAAACGAACACCCTTCCGTCGATTTCCCGGCGGTTGAAGAGACGGCTCTGTATCATCAATCCGAAGAGCCAGTCACGATCCTCCAGATTATGGCCGTCCAACAGCTTCCGCATCTCCGTCTTGTCGAATGTTACGTGATTTGATTCAGATAGCTCGGGAGGTGAGTAGCATAGGCATGCGTTGTGTTGGAGGAGTGTTGTTGCGGTTGGTGGGTCATCGCGGAGGTGATTGGAGAGGATCCCGGTTCGCCGGGATATGCGGTTGGTGTCCATGTTCAATGTTCAGAGACGGTGGTGGTTGGAATTGGAAGATTATTGAATAACGAAACAGAGATGTTTTGGATATGGTTTTGGTTTTGGAAAATGAAATTGTTGACTTTTTCCTGTTTTTTAATATACACGTTACTTCCGTCATATGGTTCTTTTTCAAGTTCGTTAGTACCAATCCTTCGAACTCGCGACATCAACGATTCACTTACAAAATTGATGCACGTCAACTTTAGTTAACTAGACTTTTCAAATCATATATTAGTAGGACTAATATTTAGCTATTGAATTAACAATAACAATAACAATGGTTTTAGTTTGTGAAAAAAAATTTAAGAGAGAAGATCATTTTATGAAAAAAATTATGAGAGATTAAAAATAATATATAACACATTTAGAAGAATCAAAAATATATTTAACCTCAATAACGGATATATTTCTACATCGTTTTATTTTTAAATTCAAAAATTCAAAAACAATAATGAAAATTACACTTAACTTTTAAGATTTGGTTTAGCGGTTGAGGTTTGGATCTTGAGACTTGAGAATGTGTTTCTCTCACAATTTTGAGTTTAAATCCTAACGAAATTCTTGAGATTTGAGAGTGTGTTTCTATCACAGTTTTGAGTTCAAATTCTAACGAAATCCTTGTTAATGAACGGTAGAATTTGTTTTCTTAGATTAGTCGGTCGCATAGTCTAATATCAAAATTTCAAAATAATATAAATTACGCTCACCTTCCATGAAATCTTTAAAATGACATCAACATCCCATCAATTTTAAAATATATATTATTCTTTTCTGAGATATATTAAAATGACATTGTCATTCAGTTGAAAGTCAAAAATCGTAGCTATATATGACATTTACCTAAAAAATTTATGTTTGTCACTAAAACATTTTGGTGGTATATATAAATTTTAAGGGGAGTTAGTGTATATTTAAAAACTAGAATGGATGTTTGTGTCATTTTAACAAACCTTAGGGTGAGTTTAATTTTCCCAAAAAATTATCATTTTAAATGGGCTTAAATGCACTTTTAATTTTTCTATTTAGATCTTTTTAATATTGGTCTCCATATCAAAACTCAGATTACTAGTCCTTCCACATTTGCACATATGACTTGCCTTGTCATTTATTACGTGGCACTACCATAGTTGCACCATGTCAGCGTTCAGTGGTGGAGCCGCAACCCTGGTCCAAGTGGTGCAATATAAATAAATAATTATTTTATTAACATTCGTCAAAAAATTATTATTTATGTGCGCGTGAGCGTGCGTGTGTGTGGCCTAATTGTGTCTAGATTCTCTCTCTTTAATTTATAAGTAGTCAATGGGAATTGTTTGAATGAGCTATATAAATACTAATGTAAGTCTACCAAAAACAATGTGGGACTATACCATATCTATTTTTGTATCTCAAAACCATTTGGAAAGTTGGGTCACTGTCTAGAGTTTGTGTATTTTTCTTAAACGACACAACCAACCTTTCTTTTTCTTTCTTTCTTTAATGTATAAACTTCAAATTAGCAACTAAAGCAACCACACCAGCATGGTGTACCATAAGCAAGCATAAAAGGAATTGGTCTCTTATTATACTATTTATTTGTCTGCATTGCACATAACAAATGAAAGTTGAATGACATGGGTTCTACATAGGTTGTTGCATTACAAGTTATGTTGTTTTGCATCTGTTTAGTTTTTGCAAATGATTGATTGTTGCCGTTACGCGAAAAATAACAGGCGAAGACACAGAGTTGCCATCGAATTTTATTTATTCCAACGAGGAAAGAAAAACATCAAGAAAACCTCAGAAGGGAAAGAACATGGTCTGGCAACCAAATACACAAGAGGAAGGTATTAGCACCCCTCGCGTTCGTTGTACTCAACGAGATTCACTCTTGTTGTTCTAATCAAATGGTGTGTATACCTAAAGCTTACTAGCTAAGGAAATGCATACATGAATTATTAGGGGGGAAAAGGTTTTATTATTGAGTTCGTCCGAGTTTTGCAACCCAATGCCTACATATCCTAGAGGGAATCAGAACTCTGTAGTTCTTGTTGAAAAAGTTTACTCTGTTTAGTATTTTTTATGGACAATGTTAATGTTCGCATTTTAGTAGTTAGGTTTTGGCGCTCGCACGTGAGGAAACTTACGCTTTAGTTTGTATTGCGGTAGAACGGAAATAATATGCCCTTTTTGAAAATGTTTTGAAGAGAAAATCTCGGAGGAAAAGATTTGTATTTGTTGAAGTGTTTTTGTTAAGGTTTTAAAAAAGGTTTGAGACGCATATTGTACTAAAGTCTATGACAATAGGAGCAACTATTTCATACAAATGATCCAAACGTCTCACGTACAAAATACTCTAAGAAGAGGTAAGGAAAACTTTCGCTCATCTTTTCTCATGTACTTAAGACTCGTGATATATTATACGCATCATATCTTATTAAGTGTTTTTGGATTTGATGCAAGAAAGTAAACTTTAATTTAAGAGATGCAAAGAAAAATAAATTCTAGGGAAAACTTGGTCTTAGATGTTATCATGCAAAATGGTCCTAAGGTTAGGATTATAAAGAAAATATATCCTAATGTTGTCATGCAAGATACTTAAACCTAAAGTCTACCTTTAGTTCAATTTAATCAAATTAAAAAAATTAATTAAATTGGATCAAAGGACTCCTAAAGGAGTATGTAAGCACAAAGCGAGCAACAAGTAAACATAAAGCATCTCAATCATCAAGCAAGAATCAAACACAAGTCAAGGCTTAAGCGCAGTCAATAGTCAAGCACAAAGAGAAATTCATGTCAAGTCAAAGTATCAAGCACAAGGCAAGCATCAAGATTACACAAAAGTAATACCAATAATCAACATCAAAAATTAATCAAGATAAGGCATCAAGAATTTTATAGCATCAAGAATTTCAAAATAAAGCATCAAGAATTTCATGGCATCAAAATTTTCAAGATAAAGCATCAAAAATTTCAAAATTAATAGCAATTTTTTAATCAAAATTACCATCAAGGAACTAATTAAAACTAAATTAAGAAGCTAACAAAAATCCTATCAAGAAACTAATCACAATTTAATCAAGATGACTAATCAAAATTAACATCCAGATTTAATCCATATTAACATCTAGAAAAATCAAGAATTAACCATAATTAATCTAGGCTAATCAATTTTTAACTAAAACAAAAGAGACAGATGTGGAAAGAGAAACATGGTGCAAATAGTATTTTCATGGGGCATAAGGCCCAAACCGAGTCATAAAGAGAAAACAGGTAATAAGAAACAAATTTCATCATCATATCAAAGTAACCACATGAATGTCTCTTCACTCTCTCATAAACGTTTTCCTCTCCCTCAAAATGCGCTGTCGGAATCGTTCACAGCTCCGTTGCGCCATGACTCTGCACTGGCAGCGGTGGATATCCCCAATCCACTACATTACTTTTGCTCTCAGGATCTCTTTGTTAAAACTCGAGGCCAAGCGCAGCCTAATCTTATGCAAGTCGTAGGGAAATCGCAACGATAGGAAAAGAACTTCGATCGAATGCTTACCTGGAAACAGAATCAGGTATGAATTTGATTTTTTCGTTGTTAACTTTTTGCTTCTTTTCCCTTCTTATCCTTCATTGTGGTGTCGTTGTTGTTGGTTTGAAACACTTGTACGCTGTGTTTGTTGTAAAGATGCTTTGAATTGCAAGTTACAAAAGATGATGATGATCTGCGATTGAGTATTGTTGAAGTTATGTTGGAGAAGATTGAAGAAAAGTGATCGAAGAAGTGTTAGAAATTTGGGTATGATAATCCTGGATATCTTCGAAGAATCGTGTTCGTACACTTTCCGAACAAAGTATTTCGACCCTATTCTTGCTTGGGTTCACGAAATCTTTGTGGGGATAATTCTCGAAGAACAATCTGTATCCGGCAAATCAAGAATGTAGAGAGAAAGTATGGTTTTGTTTTCCTTCTCTGTACTTGAAACCAATGCCAAATGACTCCTTATATAGGAGATCAATAACAGAAACTGAAACGACACAACTATTCAGAAACATTTATGTCCATTGGGAAAAAGGGTTCAGCGTATTCAAAATTTTCGCTCGGGGCGTTGCCCCGCACCTCGCCAGGGGCTCCGCCCCTTGGAACCCCTTTTCAATTATTGACGAGCGTGCACTCCGCACTATCCTAACTTGTTTCCAAGCTTAACACATAATTGCATCGGCCTCTAGTAAATCACCTTACTACAAAAATACATTGATGATACTAAAATCACCAACAAAAAGATGGAAGAAGAAGGATAAAGAAGCTTCAAGAAGAATCCAGGTGAAAGTGAAGAGAGAAAAGAAGTGAAGGAAGCTTTTTTTTATAGCAGAGGTAGTTATGATTTTCTGTTACATTGTGTTATGAGCTTTATTTGATTGAAGATTGGAATGGAGTTGCGAATTTTCTTTGTAATTTTTGCACCTACGTTGTATTTGTTGCTATGTAATTTTTCTTTTTCTTTTATGGACTTCTTCTCATTCCTATGTGTTTTTATTTGTATCACTGCTATTTATTTTGTATTTCTACGCCTTGTTTTTCTACTGCTATGAACTGACGTGTTTGCGTTCTCATTGCGGTTAGTTTGTGTGCTTGGGTTTAATTCAATGTTTCTGAAGCAATGACCGTAAACGAACTTACTCGAGATAGAAGCACTGGATTTCATGTCCCTGAGAACATAAAGTGTCGTAATGTGTTTTTCACAAATCAGTGAACCAACTATCACATCTAATGTTTCAGGTTTTATCAGAATTCTTGACAGTTGGGTTGATGTAATTTCTCCCTGTTGAAATCCAAGAGGAAGGAACTAATGAGTACTTGCATTCTAAATAGAGTGGCATACTTTTCCCACTGAAAAGTTTCTCATGACTCTGGTGCTGCCTTTGTTTGAATAACCTCATAGAGTCCTTCATGCAAGCCATTTCAGATAATTCATTACTGCATTCGGAGCACTCTCCCGAGT